TGACACGTATTTCCCACCACAATATTTTTGAAGATTTCGATTTCGATTATAACATCTTATCAACTAATTTTGATCGTGTCAAATAATGAAAGGTGAAGGAATTGTTGATGACTTGCCACATGTTAAACGTAGAGAGAAACGTGACAACGTCACACTAATGACTAATGCGTACGCTCGCACTCGCTTATTGTAAACGTGGAGTACTACTATTTTTCATATCACTAATTTATGCCTCGTTCATTTCACGGATTTGAGTTTTCAATTTGAGTTGAGATATGACATTTTCTGAGAGCTTTTTACTATAGCAGAAAAAGTTAAATGTGATATTTTCTGAGAATTTTTTATTGTAAAAACTTAAAATTAAAAACTCAAATCGGTGAAATGAACGATACCTTATTCTTTTTTTCTTTTGAGGAAAATTTTGTATTACTTTGTTTCTCTTTAGTTCATTAATTTAAATTTTTAATTTGAGTTAGATGTAATTTTATATAAAATTTTTTTATTATAATAAAAAAATTAGATTTACTTATTTTTTATAATTTTTTATTATAAAAAAATTTAAATCGATAAAATAAACGGGACCTTATTACATCATCCAAATCATGTTATTTCTTAGGTATATATTGTTAAAAAAAAAACACAACAACAAGAACTTGATGTAAATGAATTAGACATGTGATTTCATAATGTTGTTCAACAAATTATTCTAACAACATGTTTAACGCTTTTTATCTTATTTTATTTACAATTTGCAACATGTTTTGCTTTTAGATCTTCAGATCACTTTTATTCGTAATTTGTTAACATACTTTAGCGATGTTATGTCTTCGCAACAACGGAGGAAAATAAAGTTCCGTTTCAATTTTATTACATGAGAGATTTACGGGATATTTATTTTCTATATTGATCCCTGATTATGAATCATGATTCATGATTCTCTATAATATTTTTTTTTCGTAAAAAACACATATAAAACGAGAATAGTTCTGAATTCATATGTCCACGAATTTAGAAAAAGTAATGATAAGTTGAAAAAGATAGAGAAGAGGAGAATAAAAGAATCTTTATAGTAATTTTAGGGAGATTTGAGAAAAGAAAATAAAAGAGACAAAACAGGAAAAAAAAAACTCAAATTCTTTAAAATTAGGGGTGGCAATTCGTGTCATGTGTTGTATTCGTGTCGTGTTTTAATCGTTTCTTTTTAAATTTACAGTGAACCCGAACACGACCCGTGACATAAAATTTTTTAAAAACCGCAACACGAACACGACACGACCACTTTACGAGTTGACACGACACGACCCGAAAATGACCCATGACACGAAATTGACCCGTGAATCTGAAATTGACACAAAAATTTTATACTTTTATTTAGTTTTTTACATATTAAAAATAACTTAAAATTCATAACACATTAAATTTTAATAACATCAATTGAAATTAAGCAAATAATAGAATAAGATTTTGAGTATAACTATCATGATATCACAAGTTTATAATCAAATTTTAAATATGAAATGAAAAATATATGTATTTTTTAATTTTTTACGAGTTTCGTGTCGTGTTCGGGTTAGGCAGGTTCAACCCGAATTGACATGTGTTTTTTGTGGCAATTTCAGGTCGACCAAATTCTGACATGAATAACTTTTTTTTCAACCCTAACCCGTAAAATTCGTGTCGTGTCGTGACCCATATTACCGGTCCTATTTAAAATACATGTGTAATCTTAAAAATTACGGTCTTTTTTTTTTTTTAGGGAGAGACGTACCCCCATTGGACCTGATGTAGGTTTGTCACTTTCAACGAGTATTGCCAGACTCTATTGCTTAAAAGTAAGCAAAATTATGTCAATCATTTGCATATGTTGGTATAGTCCAATAAGGTTTTTATTTTCTCTGAAAATTACTAGTTTTTTTGTTTTTTTTTTGTTTTTTTAGTATAATCTACGTGATGTACTTAAATATTAATTTCATATGAAGCTCATAGGCACCATCGCAACTTGTAATCGGTTTGAGTATAATCTACGTGATGTACTTAAATATTTAATTTCATATGAAGCTCATAGGCACCATCGCAACTTGTAATCGGTTTGGTTTCTTTAATAAACCACGATCAATGCATATGTGGCATCAAACCCTTGATCGGAATTTGATCAATCCGATGGTTAAATTATATTGGTGTACTTAAAATTTTAAGCTTTGCATTATCAACTGAAATTTGACTATCCACTAAAGAAAATATAATTTGAACATTAATTTTCTTTTGCTTTATAATGAGTTTGTTTTTTATAAGAACATTGGGGGCATGAAATTTCCACGGAAATGGACACGGGCTTTGTTCAAAAGTCATATTCAATGTAAAATACATTACATGGATAGCAGCCATGCTTTTGATCAGGTTCTTTCGTGGGGACGAAGGGTCAACTTCCGTCAATTCGTTTTCTTTTTTCTTTCTTGGCACGAAATTTTGAAAACCCATTTGAACAGTTTTTTACGGGAAAAATAGATATATATCTATGAGTCTAAATTTTTATCTCTTATTCTTATTAATATTATTTTTAATTAAATAACTATATTAGTTAAAAAATATATTAATTAAGAATAAGAGAGAAAAATTCAAATTTTTATTCTCTAATGGTAATTTCAATAATTTTCTCTTTTAATTGTTGTTATTTCAAAAGAAAAAATAAATGTCAGAATTTTTATTTATTTCTTGTCCATTTACGTGTCATCAAGGATTTCCTTAAATAATAACTAATATTATGATTTAGTAAATTCAGTGAGGATTACAATTTACATTTTTATGTTGAAGATTACAATTGAGTGAATTGAATATTGTATCTTTTGTCCATAAAATCTTTTCTAAAAAATAAATTTGTGCTAATATGAAAGAGAAAATCCATAAGTATGATATATTACACAAAAATCACATCAAATTGAAAAAAATGTGATAATATAATAGGACTTGATAAATAATGACTTGTCCATATATTCTGAACGAGTTTTTAATGATTATATATAATACAACATTTTATTACTTTGTCTTACTAGTACTTTATTTTTACACGTTAACTCAATATTCTTCAAGAAAGTTGATAAATAAAAAATGTTCTTCAAGAAAAACAAAGAAAAGGGGAAAAAACTGCTAATTGATATTTTTAGTTGCTGAATTTATTTATTATTTAAAAAAATAGACTTTCGAACGTCAGCTCCACTTTGGCCAAATATTCAAAACCAAAATTTTCAAACCATTAATTATTGGTCCTTTGCCTTTGTATCCAGATAACCACTAATAAAGTCATCCATATCACTGCCCGAGAAAAGAGGAAAATATGCTCCAACGCAATGAACCCATATAAATTAATATGTTGGTTAGTTACCAAATCTTTTGGTTTCGTAAGGTTTATTATAGACCAAGTCATAAGAGATCTGACTTTTTTTTTTTTTTTTTAAATGAAGAGATATGATTTTGTTTCCAGCAAAAATCAAATAAAGAAAAGTCAAATAAAGAGTTCAAAAAATCTCGGATCTCTCAAACAAGTGTGAATAAAAGCTGTTGGCTCACCACCCCATCGATTGCCTCTCCTCTTCTAGCATACCAACACCTGGCCTTCTTTTTTTTTATTTGACCATCGAATGAGATCAAAATTTTGCGTTCTTGTTTTCTTTTTGCGACCCTCGTTAACGTGTCGGCAAATTATGATGTAAAAATAAAAAATATGTAAATTTAATAGTTAAAATAATTTAACTTATCGATACACTAAACACATGAGAGAAATTTTTTTTTTTGTTGGTGTAAAACATTTTCTTTTTATTTTTAGGTGAAAGGTGATAAACACAAATTTTGAATCTTGTAGATTAAGAGCCCGTTTGGTTGAAGGATTCGTTCTCTGATTCGAATCATATTTCATAGTTCGCTATAGTATTTTCTCTCACAAAAAACACATGTAAATAAAAAATGGTTATAATCTATGAACCAAACGAGCTCTAAGAAATTGTTCAAATGGGATACGTTTGTATTAGGGGTAGAAATTCGTATTAGTGGGTTATGTTTATATCGACTCGTTTATTAATTATGTTAGAAACCATCCACCCAAATACGATCCGTTTATTAAACGTGTCAAAAATCTCAACTCAAACACGACTCATTTATTAATCGTGTCAACCCGTATAACTCGTTTAAATTAATATATTGAATAAATAACTAATATAATAATGACTTATTTAATACGATCAAGACACGTTTAACATGTTTATTGATCTATTTATATTTTTCTTTAAAAAAATAAATAAAATTTACCTACAAATAATAAAATTCACATTATTTGTATTTAATATGTCATATAAACTTTTATGTTATATCGCATATCATTAGATTGCAGATGACATATATAGTTAATCGTGTCACTTCGTGTTAGGAGGTCAACACTAACCCAATCCATTTATTAATCATGTTAATCGTGTTAACCCGATTATGGCCTAAATTCATTTATAGTAAACTCAAACTCACTGATTTTGTGCGGATTTTAAGTTGTGTTGTTATGTCGCTACTTAAATTACTAGCCCTAATTTGTATTATTCTAAAACACACATAATCCTCGCCTCCTCCACCACTTTGCTGCCTCACCCATCTAATAGATTACCATGTCCAAAATGCATGATGCCCACGTGGGATCAACCTTGAGGCAACAATCCAAACAATCATCAATTAGGCAAAAATAAACAAAGAAAACGTGTAAACACGAATAAAAGTTCCACATTTTACACATGGTAACTGAAAATTATGTCACCTTTCTTTCACTTCCGGTTAAATTATACTACGTATGGTATGGTCACTCCGTTACTCGTTTTAATCAAATTAAGAAAATTAGTTCATTAAGTAATAGGCATTATGGTAAATATGAATTGAAGAGAGGGGCAAATTTGGTAGAAAATAATTAGTGCACCGAAGTACATATTCAAAAGAGTCGTTTCAACTTGAACCATACGTGGATAGAGAAGAGAGAGAGAGACAGAGACAGAGAATTCGTTTCTTTCCACCATTTTGTTCGTATTAGTCACAAAAGGAAATCTTTTTTTTTGTTCGTTTTTTTTAATATCCATTTTGCCCCATCAGGAAAGAATCGTATCACTCACCCATCTTTTTCCACGTATAAATAAATACAACGCATCACAAAAACAAAGCTGCACAACACAAACAGATCATATCAAATTATCAAAGAAGAAGAAGAAGAGAGAAAACGAAAACCTGAGTGACCATGGAGCAGCAGAAGATGATCAATATGGTAATCATAAACGACAACAAAAACAACATGAACGACAACAAGAGCGCGGAGGACGGGTTTTTGGGTGTTCCGATTATTCACAGCCAAGTGATGAAGATCAAGCAAGAGATAGAGAAGATCAAACATCCTTCTTTGCAACAACAAGAAATGAGGCGCGTGCTGCTACGCGCCCACGCGCTGCCTCAGCGATCGCGGTCGCCGCTGGGATTGGTCGATCAGAGAGAGAGATCCATCTCAGTTCACAACTGATTTTCAGCTCTGAAAATTGCGATGTATATCAGTTTAGGATCTCAAGGTTTTTTTTTTTTTTTTTTTTTTTTTTTTTTTTTTTTTTCCCTTGTTGTTGTGTATATACGTATTTTTGGGGGA